AGGGCGGGTGCTCCCACAGAAGGCTTTCCCCCTGTGGGCCGCCAGCTGACATTGCTTGACCAACGGTACCCTGAGGAGGCCCTCTCTGTGAGAACGTATTGGCTGGTGGGAGGTTATCGGTAGCAAAAGGCGGTCTCGTAAATACCCTGGCCCTAAGCCATGGAGTGCTTTAAAGGTGAGAACCAACACTTTGAAGCGCACCCGGAAGACCACCGGGAGCCAGTGCAGCTCGCGCAGGAGAGGTGTTATATGGGAACGCCATGTTGCTCCCGTAATCACCCGCGCAGCCGCATTCTGGACCAGTTGGAGCCTCCGGGTGCTCCTCAAGGGGAGCCCCATGTAGAGAGCGTTGCAGTAGTCCAGGCGAGAAGTGATGAGAGCATGAGTGACTGTGCATAAGGAATCCTGACTCAGAAAGGGGCGCAACTGGCTTATCGGGCGAACCTGATAAAAAGCCCCCCTTGGCCACGGCCGTCATGTGCTCTTCTAAAGACAGCCGCGTGTCCAGGAGGACGCCCAAGTTGCGAGCCCCCTCTGTGGGGGGGTCAATGACTCGCCCCCAATAGCCAGCGATGGCACCAGCCGGCTATATCGGGATGCCGGCATCCACAGCCATTCAGTCTTGGAAGGGTTGAGTCGAAGCCTGTTCCTCCCCATCCAGACCCGCACGGCCTCCAGACACTGGGACATCACTTCAAGGGCATCGTTGGGATGGTTTGGGGTGGAGATGTACAGCTGAGTGTCATCAGCGTACAGATGGCACCGCACCCCAAATCCACGGATGATCTCACCCAGCAGCTTCACATAAATGTTGAACAGGAGTGGCGAGAGGACCGACCCTTGTGGCACCCCACAAACAAGGTGCCTCAAGGTCGACCTCTTCCCCCTGCCAACAGACTGCGATCGGTCAGAGAGATAGGAGGAGAACCACCGCAACACGGTGCCTCCCAACAATCATAATTGTTCCTTTCTTTTTAATGTTAAACATGCAAAATTTGCAGCAAAATACCTGAAATTACATACCAAGTCCTATTAGTTCTGGTGGTGTTCAGAACAAACGTGCACTTACCCTATTAAATTAGTGGAAGTCAAATTATTCAAGGATGACTAAATTGTGTCTACAATCAGCTAAGAAAGGCAGACAATGCAGTCTATTTTTTTTTAAAGCAGTGATGAACAAGGTTCAATTTCACATGCATTGGTCATATGCAGCAATAGTACTACAAAAAGCACTTGTTTGCCAAGTAGTTCTAAAAGCTAAAGCAAAGATGTAAGCTTTACAATAGCTATGTGTATCTTAAACAAATGTTTATGCTTTATTTCGTACAGAGAGATGTAAGATGCTGTATAAAATATTTTTATGCATTTCTAATTCCAGAACACCTTAGTTACAATAACAAAAGCATTTCCAGTAAAAATAACATAACCCATTAAAACATTAGGACTGTATTCTTGATAGTGAACAGTTTTTATTGGCTGGTAACAGAGGGCAAGTTACCTTTGAATTATTCCAAATATGATAATGGAAGAAGAGAAGGAAATTTTTATATAAGTTTGTCCTGGATCTCATACCTGACATTTATGTTTATAACCTGAAAATATAGAACTGAAATCATCCACATCAAAGGATAATCACTATCACTACACAAAGCTTCCTGTTTTTATAAAAAATAACTTTGTTCTTCCCAGATAAAAAATGTTTACTAGGAAAATAGGGAAGTTAATAATTTAGCCTCATCAATTTGCTGCCCTTCGAGTATGTTGAACTAAAAAGACAGAAGTAAATGTTGCCCCTGTCCAGTTGTGTCTGACTCTAGGGAATGGTGCTCATCTTAGCTGAGGTAGCCAGCATTGTCCGAAGACATTTCTGTGGCCAAGGCTCACGGAATATTGATACCTTCCCACCAAAGTGGTATCTATTTATCTACTTGCATTAGCCTCATCAATTTGGTGCCCCACAAGTATGTTAAACTATAGTCCTCATAATCCATACATTTTTAGCCATACAGTGGCTAAAAAATAAAACCTAAAAGAAACTATTCAGGCTCAGTATTACGGAAAGTACAATAGTGATGAAAAGTTTGTGAATTCTTATCTATAAGCTTGCAGTATTATGGCCTACAATGTTGTCAGTCCTTGAATAAGAATTATTCAGATAGGAAATTCTGGTTAAATGAACAGCACAAATGCTGCAGCATGTCAACTGAACAAACTAAGCCAATATTTTCACTGATTGTTGGAAAATTTAATTAGAATAATCAGCTCTTTTAAGAAGTCAGATGAAATTAAAACATAGTGATGTGAGCTTGAAGGATCCTTTCCATAAAACAAACTAATTGGTCGTTACTATCAACCTTTGCTATTAATTAACACATTTATGGTAGTGAATAATATCTCATCAAAAGATTCTAAAAACCTCTTGTCTCTACTTAATGAAGGAGGGAAGGGCTACAGATCTGTTGCCAAAGTTTCTGGCTTGCACCATTACACAGATTGTACAAAAACCAATAGCATTCTTAAGCTTTCTATTTTGTTAGCTACCCAAAATCACTCTTAACAATAAGACATGCAATACTCTAGAAAATTGCAAACATTTACATGGTAATGGCAAAGAATCTAAAGGCGACTTTTTAATTTTCTAATATTTTCATGTGTGTACCACAAGGGAAACATTGAATAAGAGTAATGTATATGAGAGAATACGAAGGAAGCCATTACTTTCCCAAAAGGACATTGGCAATGGTCCAATGGGCTATTAAAACATTTTAAAGACAAGTGAGATTAAGGTGGAATTTGTGGCCTCAGATGTGGACAGTTTGCAATTGCTAACATATCCAAATATATAAATGAACTGAAAAAGTTAGGCAAAAAAAGAATGGTCAAAATATCTCCAAACTGATCAATAGATATTGATCAGTTTTTATGTATTCAATAAATACATATGTTACACTGCTTGATGTCCTCATCCCACAGATGAAGTTTGCCCCACACTAGATCAAAGTATTGCAAGATTAAAAAGAGTTTTAAATAATTCCCAAACTTTTAACCACTTACATTAAAATAACCTAGAGTAATTTTTTTAACACTTTTTTCTTTTACGATCCCTTCTAATTTATAAAAATTATGGAGGACTCCAAAAAAGCTTTTGTTTGTATGGATATTTATCTACCATAATAAAAAATAAAGTTGATCCATTCACTGCAGTTATCTCTTCTCACAGTTGTTTGATGGGATTTTAATACTGGATTATTTTTCAACATAAATTTGCAAAGAGTTTTGATTTCAGGAATCCGAGAGGCACTTTTTTTTAAAATTTGATTTATATGCCGCCCTTCTCCGGAGACTTAGGGCGGCTTACAATGCGTTAAGCAATAGCCTTCATACTTTTGTATATTCATACAAAGTCAGCTTATTGCCCCCACAAACTGGGTCCTCATTTAACCTACCTTAGAAAGGATGGAAGGCTGAGTCAACCTTGAGCCTGGAAAGATTTGAACCTGCAGTAATTGCAGGCAGCTGTGTTAATAACAGGGTGCTTTAGACCACTGTGCTACCAAGGCTCTTAAGAAACACTGTCCTAAAAGACAATACTTTAAGACAAAACTGCCAGAAAGCCTTCATAAATGTCATGCCTATCTGCTATCTGCTTATTTATTTACAAACAATACCATTGGTCAAATACAATTTGAATATTTTTACATTGGATAAACCATTTAATGGCCATGAATGATACTTACAAATGGCAGGATGCATTTCTTCACAGGTCCAAATTGAGTAAAATATTCTCGTAGTTCATCTTTAAAAAAAAAAAAAGGCAGGACATATCATTTGATATGACATATCAGAGAATCAGGAGCAAACTAATTTCTAATAGCCATTTTCTCAATTGATGGGTTCAGCAAATGACCTCCTTAAGAGCAGGGCTAGTCAGCCTAAATTTCTCACAATCCCTTGGGATGATAATATATTCCATGCATTTGACTGGAAATGGGTGACTAAACTTAACTGCTTGATGCTGCTCAGAATATTTGAGTTCAAATTTCGGAAAGTTCTACAATACAGCCAACAGGAACTGCAGACTATAGGAACCATTTGCACTTCAGTTTGAGATGCAGACAACACAGACTCACCCCCAACAGCCTGCGCCTATCTTCAACAGTAAAGAGACACAGGGCAGAAAACACCCTGCAGCCAAGAAGGCTCCACACCCATTTGCACTACTTTCAGGTGCCCCCGAGGACACAGATAAACCTCCTATGCCTACGGCCTCAAAGACTCTCTTTTAAAAAATGCAAATGACCAGCTGCCTGCAAGGAACATAAATCCTTCCATTCCCCACCATCCAGTTAGAGCTGAAGAGCTTCTTGAAGAAGCCAAACGTCTTTTTTAAAAAAAAAAACAAAAAACCAAGAAAGTCCAGTTGCCTCCTAAAAAAGCACCTTTGGGACAACCATGACCTGGATGACTGAGAATCTCTATAGAATACAGCAAATGGCAATGAGGTTTTTTGGGAAACCACATCCTCCAATTGCTCAAAACGTATGCCCAAACTAGCATTCACGAAGCGGAAAAATCCGCTTCGGCCTCTTCACAGCAAATTGCTGAGCACATTGTAAGCCGCCCTGAGTCTTCGGAGAAGGGCGGCATATAAATCAAATTAAAAAAAAATAAAATAAATTGGGATCCCGTGCTCAGTAAGAGAGCTGTCTCGGGGATCTACCCACTACCCTTTGGCGGGACAAAAGCTTCAGTCCCTCAAACCACAAGCGAAGGAAAATCCTCAATACCCCGTTAAACCATCATCAGAAAATGCACCTTCTCCCACTCACTTTCCTCCACGTTCCAGGGTATTCGCCTAACGAAGACCTCGAAGGCGCGCCGAGAAACCCCCCTCGCTGCCATCTTAAAACGAGGGACGACGACCTTACCCGGCTGAGGCGGTTTCCAGCCAATGAGAGGCTGGCTTCCGCTGCTTCGGTGGGAGCGCGCGTGCCAGGCCACGCCTTGAGCTAAGATGGCGGCGGCCACGCGGGAGGAAGATGCGTTCCGTCGCCTCTTTCGTTTCTATCGGCGATGGGAGGGGTCGGATCCTAGCGGGGTGATTGACTTTTCGAAGCCAGCGGGCCAGCAGGTAAGCCGAAGGGAGCCATTCGCCCCTTCGCTCTGCCTGGCGGATCCTGCCAGGAAGACGCCAGGAAAGTCTTCCTTTTGAGAGACTCCTCCCCTTTTCCGTTGCACGTGCTGCACGTTTTTCCTCATTAAATTCCCGGCGTGTATATCGGCGCGAGGGCTTCGCCGTAACAATCTGGGGAAAGTCTCCATTTGACAGCGAAACATCATGGCGGGGAAAGACTTGCTTGGCCAATTCTGACCAGCCGATGCCTTCTGTTCAGTTTCTAAAGCCCCCCCCCTTTCCCTGTGCAGCATTAAGCAAAGTATTGGCCGTATTTGAACCTGCTAAATCCCAAATCATTGTTTAGTAGTCAACAGTGGCAGCCTTGAGGATAAAAAACACGTTATAGCTGACATAAACGGTGTTTAAAAGTATCCCGGTAGGAGAACGTTTGCCTGTTATGTCGTTGGTTCAAAACCCGGCATGAATTCTTTTTTTTAAAAAAAAGTATGGCGCAACGGTTAAACCGAGTAGGAAGACCAGATTTTAATCGGTCCTCAACTACAGAAACTTGGGGATTTGGAGCCAGTTCCTGCCTGTCAGTCCAACCTATCTCATTGTTCTGTGAAACTTAAGTTTCAAGTGAAACTTTGAAATCTAAGTGAACAAGTGAAAATCCACTTGAGTAACATGGGATGAAAGGACAAAATGATCACGTTGTGTTCAAGAACTGCTGGGATGTTAGCCTTCTGGTGGACAGTATAAACCCTGACTATTACCCTGATGATCAAACAGAACCAAATCTTTCTTTTAATGTATGCTCTATAGATAATTTTATCCTTGTGCTATTATTTTTTTAGTCCGAAGAGAGTTTACTGCATTGTAAACATTGGCTTCTATACTATACTTGTACCGTAATGTCCATGGAAGATGTGCTTCCTTTTATGATCTTTGACTTCTAATGACAGGTGATGAAAGATCAGTAACCAATTCTAAAAAAAAAATCGTATGGAGCATAAAATAAAAACTACCATGCCATATGAGAATTTTTTTTTTTTAAATTAAACTAAATTTCCCTACTAGTTAGCTAAGTAACATGTACAGGTTCTTATTCTTTTTTTTTAAACAAGATTTTGATTATCAGAAATAATCCTGCATCTTTTTGTATCCTGATCCCATTATCTTCTCAAGATAAATAGAATTTATCCGCTGAAGAGAAAATGATTTACATGCCTGATATTTGCAGTCTGATAAGGATTAAGTCCTGTCTTCAATAACAAAAGATCCCTTTTAAATAACATCTTTAAAATTACTAAGTATTGTTTTCTGACTTGCACCTGTTCTTGGACAGGTGAATTAGTCCTCAGTTAAGAAAGTAATGAATGCAGTGTAAGTACAGCTCTCCCAAGAGACTTTCTGAAATAGAAAATAAGCTGTTTGAGTTATAGGATTACCTACTTATTCCCTAGCATAATTTGTAATTTAAATTATAATCATGTATCTGCATGAATTGGATGTTTATCCATTATCCCATTCAGAGTGGGATTGTGGTGCAATGGTTAGAGTGCAGTACTGCAGGCTACTTCTGCTGACTGCCGTCTGCCTGCAATTTGGCAGTTCAAATCTCACCAGGTCAAGGTTGACTCAGCCTTCCATCCTTTCGAGGTCGGTAAAATGAGGACCCAGATTATTGGGGCAAAATGCTGACTCTGTAAACTGCTTAGAGAGGGCTGTAAAGCACTGTGAAGCAGTATATAAGTCTAAGTGCTATTGCTATCACAGGAATTGTGACTTATCGGCTCTAGCATTTCCAGAGTTAATAGCTATTGTAAATATCAAATTACTTGCAGGAAGAAAAGCAAGCTATTTGTCAGAACGTTATGATTTCAGGTTGAATTATCTTACTACTAAATCAGGAATAAAATGTAATAAAGTTCCCCATAGTTCCTAATAAATAAGTATTATATATTGTCTTTTACTTGTCAATTTTCATATGAAAGTCAGTGTCACTTTTGAAAAACTGAAAGCATATATTGCATGTTTTTAATACATATATGTGATTTACAAGCATTCAGAATCCAAGTAGCAATCATGCATTACTGGGACATTTGAGATATTTTAAATAAATAAAGTCTGAGTCACAGTTGACTCCTGGTGACTGACTACACAAGTTCCTGCAGTCTTCCTGGCAGGATTTTGGATGTGGTTTGCCATTGCCTTCTTTCTAAGGCTGATACAATGCCTGGCAATGGTCACCCAGTTGGATTAGAACTCACAATGTCCCAATTTCTAGCCTGGTGCTTTAACTACTATACCAAACTGGAATTCTTTGATACATTTGAAGCACATACAAACATAAGGTTAATTTTGTGGTTGTGAAATCAGGTAGAAATAAACACCAGAAAGATTCCAGGTATACTACAGTAGTGGCCAAAATTGTGGAAACCTTTTTGGGAAAAGTGTATTTTCTAAAACTAGCTAATAACACCAGTATTTTTGGAGTAGTACCATAAAATTTTATATCAGTGGAAAGAGAATTTAATCAAGAATGTAATGCAATAACTTTTTTGAAGGATTTATTAGAATAGCACTTACTTAATTGGGTGGAACCAACTAAGTTTAGCATGAATTACGATCTTACAATGTCTTCCCATGAAGTGAACCAAGTCTTTTAGTTCTGCAGCTGTTATAACGTGAAACCAAGATTGAATGATTGCTTCTATTAACTGGGTTTTATTGCTGGGTCGCCTCTGACTAACAAGTTTCTTTGGTCAGCTCCATAAATTTTCAATTGGGTTAAGATCTGGGCTATTCCTAGGCCATTCCAGCAGTGGAATATGATTATTTTGAAACTCCAAAAAAAAGTGGTTATTAGCCATCAAACCTCAAAAATACACTTTTCCCAAAAGGTTTCCACAATTTTGGCCACTACTGTACCTAATCTTTGTAAGTTATAATAGAATTTTGACAGCGTGTCAAGTTTTTCTTTGTCTCATTTTACATCAAACAGAATCAAGGCAGGTTATTTTGAATTTCTCAGGCTTTCCATTTTTCGAGACATTTCACTTCACTTAAAAGGCTTTTCTTCATCAAAGTTATTGCTACATTCCTTTACCCTTCTGATGTATGGGTACAGTTGGTAGTATTTACAACTTCTGGTTAACTATCTTTTCTTTTTTAAAAAATTTTTTTAATAAATTTTATTAAAACAAATTAGACATTTACACAACATATGACATATAAATTAATAGCTTATCCTTTTTAAGCATTGTTTCATAATGGAAACTATCTTTTGAATAAAAATCTATGGATATCTTTCTGGCTATCTGATATTCAAGGATTTTTTTTAACTAGGTGGTCACCTATCCTCTGAAGTTAACCTCAATAAGTGATCAGGATGCCTACAGAGCAGGATTACATCCAGTTACCCAATGGAAAGCTTATGGTCTAGATAATTATCCAGGTGAGCATATTTTGGATATCTCAGCGTACATAAAATCTAAATTTATTCAGTAGAACAACCGATAATGGATGCAACATTTTTGGAAGAGACATGTGATAATACTTTTGTTTCTGTTTTTTTCAGTGTTCATAATTTAAGTGACTGGGGCAGGCCACATCTACATTTTTTCTTTTTCACCCATTTTTATTTTTATCTAGGATTCATATATATTAATAATCCCTTTCTTCCGGGCTCTCAGTGCCATTGGGTGAAGCAATGTCTAAAGAAATATATCCAGAAACCTAATGTGTGCAATTTGGATATGCATATGTCTTCTGAAGAAATTGCTGATATCTGGGGGAAGAGTAAATTTCAGCTTCGGTAAGTCACGTCTCTGGGTTATCTCATAACAAGTTTGATCAAACAACACAATAGCCATTATGCTGTAGGTCAGGGGTGTCGAACTGGCGGCCTACGGGCCAGATGCATCACGTGCAGGCCACACCCACCCCGGCTCCGCAAAGGGGAAAAATGGTGCAATAAGTCATGTGACATGACTGAGTTTGACACTGTGCTGTAGATTCTTGGTTCCTTTCTTGTAAACTACAGCTACTTTTAATCCCCATGAGTCAGTTGCTAAAAACCAATGTCATCTGTATTCAATCCTCTTTTGCTGAGGATTGAAAGAAGCTCACTTGGTGTCTTCAGACTTTTCAATCAAAAGTTCTTAATAACTAAAAAGCAGGTAATGAGCAATTTATGAATGTGATTAGAAAAGGAAGTTTGCAAACCCAACATTCTTAAAGGTGCCTAACATGGTCTGAGGAAGAAGGCTATTATTCCCTTGTCTCAGAGCTATAAATCCCCACTGTCTTTCAGTCTCAACACAAGAAGCAAATGTCTGGAGCATTTGGGGGCAATTTCAAGTCCTTTCCTTGACCGCAGAGGAATTATCAAGGAGCTAATCTGTTCACTGCCTCGTCATTCTGTACAGTGGCTGGCTCCACTTTCAACAGAGCTGCCTTCAGGTTTCCTTCTCCAGAAGTCATAAACTGCATATTTTGGTGTTACTAAGTTCTATGGGCCTATCAAATCTTATGGAAGAGAAGCCTTTTTAAGAAGCCCATTTTGCAGGATATGGAATGGAGAAGGCCTATTCTATCTATCTATCTATCTATCTATCTATCTATCTATCTGACACTTACATGTCCTTGGTTAGTGATCACAATTGGGATTGGCAACTGCCTTGCTAAGCAGAAAATTGTGGGACAATAACAGGCTTGCAACCCATTATTTCCCATTCAGTTGTTAAGCAAATCACCATAATTGTTGAATAAGACATCATCATATGACAATGACTTAAAATTTCTACGTCTCCATGAACTCTGCTGATTGTAAACCTGTTGTGCAGCACACAAATGGTGATCGCAGGATGCTGCAACAGTTGTAAATTGAAGATTGATCACAAAGCTTTTACCCCATAGTAACTTAGAATGGCCATTAAATGAGGATTTAGTAAGCAAGGACTATCTGTATGATTGCCCATCTGAAGGCACAAATACACCTACTGTTCTTTTTTCCTCCTATTTTTATATTGAACTTCTTTTAAATATTTTTAATATTGAAAAATTGCACCTGGAAGTCTATGGGGAGCCAGTGTAGCACATAATGTAGAGATATTATATGGGCATAATAAGAAACACCCTTAATTACCTGAGCCACTGCATTCTGAACCAAGTTTCCTGATAGTGTTCAAGGGTACCCTCACGTACAATGTATTCCAAAATCCAATTGGGATGTAACTAAATCATGAATAATCATGAGTAGATCCTTCTGATCCAGCAACTGGCACAATTACAGAAGGCAACATTTGTTCCCCAGCAAATCTCTGGCAGTCAGAGGGCAAATTCCACCAGGAATTTCATGCCCCACGCTCATCAGTCACCAGTAGTCCTGGATAAATCATTAGTTCCAGTCAACAAGGGTGGTGAGATCAGTCTAGTCCTGGACCCTTGCTTTGTGGAGTACTTCAGAACTTTATATTCTCTCATTTAAAAAATCTTCATGAATCCACTGGAAGAGATTATCCACTGGATCAGAGAGCATCAATATCAGTATGCTGATATACTCATTTCTGTATCTTGACCCATCCATCCAAGTGAAATTGTCAAGGTTCTGCCTGAATCTCTGGAGACTGTAATAGTTTAGGCTGGGAAGAACACGCTTAAGCTGAGTCCTATCCACAATAATCTATGTCATTGTTCCTAAACTATCTTTTCTTCAAGCGAATATTTTTTGTGTGTGCATTGGATTTTTAAAAATGCAGTATAAATCACATTTCATTCTTCAGATAACAACAGGTAGCCCTTGCCTTACAACAGTTCATTTAGTGAGCGTTCAAAGTTCCAATATCACTGAAAATAACTACTTTTTTCACACTTACGACAATTGCAGCATCCCCATGGATACCTGATCAAAATTCAGACATTTGGCAACTAATTCATATTTATGATGGTTGCAGTGTCATAGGGTCATTTAGATCACCTTCTGACAAGCAAAGACAATGGGGAAGCCAGATTCATATAACAACCATGTTGTTAACTTAAAAACTATAGTGATTCACTTAACAACTGGCAAGAAAGGTCATAAAATGGGGCAAAATTTTCTTAACAAATATTTCACTTAGCAACAGAAATTTTGGGCTCAATTGTGGTCATAAATTGAGGATTACCTATATGAAAGTTAATTTTTTGACCAACTTTATTTAGAACCATATCGGGGATCTCATTTTATTTTATTTATTTATTTTTATGCCGTCCATCTCTCCTATAGGCAACTTTGCCATGTCAAACTTTTGCAGATCTTTTTATAACTAAAACTGCTTGTGATTATGTTATTCTTTATCTTTTTAGAAACAAAAGTGCCAGTAAATCACAGCCAAAAAGCTTATTGGAAAAGTTGCGCTGGGTAACTCTAGGTTACCACTATAACTGGAATACAAAGGTATGCAAGAGGGCAATGGAATCTCCTAAATGATATGACTGCAAATTTCTTTTTTTTTTTTTTTTCCTATGGATGGCACCAAGGACAACAATCAGACACCAGGGTTTTAAACCCAAAATATTCTAATGAGAAGGTAAACCTGAACTTAAAAAAAACATTGTTTATCAGCCAGCTACAGACAAGCTCACTCAGTGAGCTTTGAACTTTTTATTGTCTGGTCTTCATAAAAACTGACCTGTTACCAGCCCTCTAAATACAAGATTCTGGGTTCTGCTAATGCAAAGAGGGAGTGATCTTATGGCATGTTACAAAAACTGCTAATTATAGATCTGTCTTAATTCATTTAAGCATTGTTGGCAAAAACATTAAAATATACATTAATTCAGTGATGCTTTGAAGTTGCTTGAAGTCACTGTTGAGAAAATAAGTTACGCTGCAAAATTGTTATTTCAGTTAAAAACATATAACTAACCTTGTGAACTACTACAGAGAGAAATTGCTTCAATAATAGCGCTTCATATTTTAGAGAATTGTTATACTTGAGTTTGCAGTAAAGAAATCTGATTATTTTCCTTCTGTAATTTTGGCATGCTGGATTTTAAGTCAAATAGTAACCTAAAGTTCACTTTAGATTATTAAAAAGTAGCAACCTAAACTTCAATTTAAATTACTTTAAAATATTTCTTATATTGCTGGCTTTGTTATTTAAAAATTCTATTTGCAACTCCTTTGCTCTTTGTTCTAGAAATATTCAGCAGATAACTATACCCCTTTCCCATCTGATCTGGCTTTCCTGTCAAAGCAAGTGGCTAAATCTTGTGGATTTCCCAGCTTCCAAGCAGAAGCAGGGATCCTGAATTATTATCACTTTGATTCATCTTTAGGAATTCATGTGGATGAATCTGAACTGGACCTTTCTCCACCTCTTTTATCATTCAGGTAAGCAGTGCAAATTTTTTAAAAATGTATATTTCACATATTCTTCTGACAGGCGCAGACCTACATTTCTGGAGATAATAACTAGATATACCAATGATGGTTTAAACCAGGAATTTAGGGCCAAAGGATAGCTATAATATGTGAAAGCCAAAATAGTAGCATTTTATTTATTTCATTTTATCTTGATCTTTCTTTTCTCAATGGCACATCTTATTTGCCTCACATAATTTTATGAAATACCTTGATGAACTCTACCACTCAATCTATCTATTTACCTATAGGTCCCTAAGTTCTTTGAACTGGTGAGCACATTTGAGATTTTGAGGGGATATTAATTAATATGTGGAATAGTTTGCTTCCAGAAGTTGTGGTGCTCCATCATTGGAGGTTTTTAAGAAGAAATTGGACAGCCAATTGTCTGGAATGGTAAGGGTGTTGGACTAGAAGACCTCCAAAGTCCCCTCCAACTCCAATTCATACCATCCATCACTTATGTTAAGATCACTAGACCCTGCTCATGAACCCATCTATAGGCCTGCTGGCAATGTAAACACTAAGAATGGCCACTTATAGAATACTGTCCAGGAGAAGGATGACTAGCTCCCACTCTGTCTAGATAGCTTAAGTAGTTTGCTCAGCTGAAATTTTACAAGGTAAAAACCAGTGTTAGGCTAAACTTTAATAATTAATTTAATTAAATAAACTGTAATTAATTGTTCAGCTAAATCTATATTTTCATTATTTTTCTTTAATAAATAATTCCAGTGAATTATGCTTCTTTGTACTGGTGTAGTTAGAATATAAAAATAATAATAATATTTATCTATTAAATCTGTTAGATTCAAAGTTTTGTTGGCCTTTCCAAAAACTATACTGTACAGGTTTGTTTTAGGGCTGATATAAGGTATACAAGTTTCAAGAGGTATTGTTTTGTAATTTCCTAAGTAAATTAATACTTTGTAAAAACAAGACCTAATTTGATATAAGTCTGTGGTTTCAATGTTCTGAATTATAACGAAGCTTTTGAATAGCTCACTAAAAGGAGAATATCCTTTTAAAAAGTATAAAGTTGTCCCATATTTGTGTGTAGCTGTAGTTTTACTAACTCATCCTTCTTTTTTCTGTATTAACTTTCTAGTTTTGGACAGTCGTCCATATTTCTGCTGGGGGGATTGAAACGAGATGAAACCCCTGTGGCCCTGTTCACACATAGTGGAGACATTATGATAATGTCTGGTTTCAGCCGCCTATTGTATCACGCAGTTCCCAAGATTCTTCCCAATCTAGAAGGAAAGCCTTTGCCTTCTTCCTTAGAGCTACCGCTCTCTGCTGACCTTCCTGCAGACTCTGTGATTGAGCCTTGCTCCGATGACGATTGGCAAACGTGTGCCAGATATTTGGAAGCATCCCGTATTAATATGACTGTGAGACAGGTACTAGCTGAAGATCAGAGCTTCTTGACTGAAACTAGGACAGAGAGCAAACAAAATGCCTTCTCCACAGACTATCATGAAAAATATACAGAAACAAAAACACACAAGCCTATTACCAACAAATGAGCCCATCTTTTTTTCATCATGACTTCAGGTGCACAAAAGCCAACACACAGCAGAAGAAATGGGATATGCCACTGAAAGAAAATTGTGAAAATAAGTATGTATATGAACTTCACAGCCAAAGTGTATGGCTCAGGTGAGGAAATCCAGTGCTGTTTCTGTCATGTTAAGATCACATAGCAAATCTATGTATTTTGATCTAAGTTATTTTGATGCTTTGCAGAAATCAACATTCCTTAGTCTATAAATACTTTCTTGTTATTTGCTTTGAGATATCAGAGAGGAGGCTTCAGTTAAAAAGCAGATTTGGGTAATCCAAAATGTGCCAGATGGTCAGTTTAGCTCTGAACTTCTCTGGCACAATTGGTTGTTCCCTTACTTTTGTGTGTTTGGAACCCTTCTGGGCCTCACTAGCACTCTCCTTTACCCAAATCTGCTTTTTAACTGAAGCCTCCTCTCTGATATCTCAAAGCAAATAACAAGAAAGTATTTATAGACTAAGGAATATTGATTTCTACAAAGCATCAAAATAACCAATTAGCAGTTGCCTCCTCCAAGGTAGTCCATGATTTATGAAAGACTTGTTCTGCATTGAACACACCGCCCTAGAATTTTCACCTGTACATCTGATGACTTATCTCATAGTGTTGGTCAATTGCCTCCATAGCATTGTTTCCTGCCTGAGCTACTAGCAATTGCATGAACACTCAACGGGCTCTTCCAGCAAAAATGGAAATAATCCAGTTTTGGTCAGCCTTGGGTTCTAGCCACTCTCAAACATAGCTAGACCTGTGAATCTTCCTCCACCTCCATTCTATGTAATTTCACTGATAGCAGTGTGGTTTCAGCTCCCATATTATTCTCTTCTGATTCTTCTTCCTATCCTACCTTTTTTTACAGCTTCTACACAAGCTGTTTGAAAGTTTTCTACTTAAAAACTTAAATACCCAAACTATTATATGTTGTTTTGGAAAAACGTTTTTCGAGCGGTGAAGATGACAAGCATAACAACTGTTACCAAGATAAGCAAGAAAGCATCTTTAAACCCTGCATCCACAACATCATCGCCTTCAAATCAGCGTTCAATAGAGAGCATGCTCAGACCGGAGAAATCAAGTTCAACATTGAATACAGAGCATGCATGCAACATTACTTATGATACAAGAAACAAGGACAAGGACACAGGAGTTGATAGCAAGGAACCATAAAGAGATAAAAAGAAATCATGAAGAGATTAAGAATGACATGGGATAAATGGAAGGAGATATCAGAAGAATGGATGATAAAATAGGAAACATCCAACAAGCCATCACTAAGAATGAACAGAGAGTACAAACGATAGAAACAAAAATGGAATAAACAGGAAAAAAATGGAAACAATGGAACAGAAATGTATGCTCGCCAGTAGGGACTTAAAGGAAACAATTGTCTTCTTAGAGATGGAAAAAGCATCCTTTTACTTAAGGTTCCAGAACATAGTGGAAGAAAAGGAAGAAGACCTAGGTGAGACCATGACAGAAATACTTGCAAACACATTACAGAAAAACAAACAGGACATATGGAGAGACATAGATGAAGTGTACATAGTACACACAAACTACGCAAGGAGACATAGATTACCAAAGGTAAGGTGAGGTTTACGAAAAAGGCAATAAGGGATGAAATACACAAAAAAACGAGGGAGGAACCTGTAATATATAAAGGAAAAGAAATACAAACCTTGAGACAAATACGTAGGAGAGTGAGAAACCAGAGAGGACACTACCAATTTTTATTAATTAGATGTAATGTGATGTTCAAATGGCTTGTTCCGGAAAGCATTCTAATTACCTGGCAGGAGAAGAAGTTCAAAATTGACACTCTTGATAAAGCACATGAGTTCTTCAAGCACCATTTCACAGCCAAGGAAAATCAGGAGAGTAAAGAAGGGGTAGAGAGCAGCAGTCAGGAGGAACATTAAGTAGAGGACAACAAGGTAGAATGAGAAGAAAGAAGGAAACAGGAAAAAGAATGAATAGAACGAGAGGGTACAAGAGAAAAAATTCAGAGAGAGACAAGAAATACAAGAAAATTAAGAACAGTATATAAATAATGTAATGAAGGAGGAAATTTAAGATGCTTTCAATAAACATAAACAAACTAAACTCACCTGTGAAAAGAACACAAAAACTCACAAAATTACAAAGATTGGATATGGACATTGTTTGTTTGCAGGAAGTACACATCAAGAAACAATATGGCAAACAACTAGAAAACCCCAAAATAGGGAAACTTTACGTAACATTAGTGCACACACAAAAAAGAGGAATTGCAATATATATTAAGGAAAGATTAAAATCTAAACAAGTATATGCAGACGACGGAAGAATTCTAATGATAGAGATAGAAACAGATCAAAAACAAATACTGCTTACCACAATATATGCACCAAACAATAATCAAAATGAATTTTATAGAAAAGTACATAATAAAATAATGGAAATAGAATATGAAAATATATGCTTAATAGGAGATTTCAATGTGATGGTATATATCAAAAAGGACTATAAAAGCAATAAAAGAAATAAGAAAAAGAAAAGAACATTACCAAATTCATTCTTTGAGATGACACAAGAATTGAACTTACAAGACGCATGGAGAGAAATAAACGTAAAAAATAATCAATACACATTCTATTCAAACCCACACCAATCATGGTCAAGGATTGATATGGTATGGATGACCCCAGGATTAAAAAGAGAGATTGAAGAGGTAGACATAATGACCAATACTTGGGCAGATCACAACCCAATAAAAGTGACATGGAGAGGACAGAAGAAGAAGCGGAGATGGACAATGAACCAAGGCATACTAAAAGAAAGAATATATACAAATGATGGAAAAGGAATTGAAACTCTCTTTTTTTTTGGTAAAAGTTTTTTTTTAATTTTTTTAAAACATAAACATAAAATACATCTTTTAGAACGAAGCGTTGATCCAGTTATAAATTGGTACAATCAGTAATTCATCTTTAACAATATTTCATCTCCACTAATTATCATCTTGTAAGAATAATCATAATAAAAAATAAATAAAACAGAGAAAAAACCAGCTCACAATTCACTCAAAAATAACTACCTTTCTATTTTTTCACCTCAAACCTTAATTTCCAAATAACACAACTTGATATTTTAAACAATTGTTTCCCTAAATTCTATCTATTTTATAATCACATTATCCAAAAACCCGTTACTTAAATCTTTAAATTCTAACTCAATATCTTTTCATTATCTTTTTATTTTACTATTACCTTAAACAGTATCTTAACAATTACTCACAACAAATCATCTTCGTTATTATTTATCTCAATATAATCATCCTAATTTAACCAATAATTCCAACATATTTATCTTTAATTATTTATCACAGCACATCATCTTCATCTTAAATCATTTATTTTTACTGTTATTTCCAACAAAATCATCTTTATTTTTACTGTTAAGCCTAGTATAGTCATATTTATTTTTACTATTACTCCCAGTTTCAGCATCTGAATCTTACTATCACACCCAATATGGTCATTCTTGTTTTTGCTGTCAAACCCAGCATAATCCTCTAAATTTTACTGTTAAGCCCAGTAGAATCACTTTATTTTTGCTGTCAATTCCAGCAAAATCATCAAAGTTTTACTGTTAAACCCAGTATAATCGTTCTTGTTTTGCTGTACATCCCAGCATAATACATCTCCACGATTCTCTTCCTATGTATTTCCCAACATCTTCTAATAATAATCAATTCCAACATATATCAATCTTGTTTTACTAGATCTGTGTTGCTTATTTTACCTTCCACCAGTACATTAGACATTTAATATTTAAATATATTCCATTCTCTATTTTAGTTACAATATAACATTGAGACATTTTACATCAAATATATCATCTTATATTCATATATGCTGTTATTCTTCCAAGAAGTACCATTTTTCCCCACCTTAACAATAATTTTAAATCATCTTGTTTTATTATCCATCTGTGATATTCTATATATTCCTCCTGTTTGTATTCAGATTTTAAACATAGTATTTCCATTTAATCAAACTATTTTATATTATTATTTCACAATCAAGAATATTTTCTTTTTTCTCTTTCCCTTTCTGTCCATAGGTGCTCCATTTCAAGTTCAATATTACCAGGTTTAAAGCTCTATAAATCTTTTTAATTCTTTAGTTGCTTCTATTCCATGCAAATTCATCAGTTTTTCTTCTTTTATTGCTACGCCATTTGCCTTCTTTTATTCCTGCGCCCCTGCTCCGATTTTAAAAACTCCACTTTATTTCTTCTTTCTTTCATCCAATAAAACCACCCATAGACAGAATAGGAGTCTCAAATTCAAAGAAAGCCCTTTAATTATTTTCAGAGTAATCCAAACTAAACGACCAGTCACTTTATTTCTTTTTCAAACAGGAGGTAAATCTTCATGATCAACACTTTAACTTGGGCTCGGCATTCTCCATTTTGTTGCAATATGTAGCAATTTTTAGCAAGTCATTTAACTCTCTCCGCTTCTAAATTTTAAAGGCGTTAAGTCTTTTTTTCTTCTTTTCCTTTCTCCAAAAGAAAAAAATTAATCAGACTTCAATTTTAAAAAAGTTTCTCCTAATTTCCAGCATGTCTCAATGTTCAATTATTCCAAATCAGTCTTTAAAAAAAAACAACCCTTAACGGGTCTTTGTTCCTGTTGTTACTTTGTTAACTCTTCATGCCCCACTAATCCACAGCTGCTATTTACAGCTAGGGGTCTTACAAGTAATAATCCATGCTCTATTGTTTCTCGCCTGGGTTGGTGTCTTCTCTTCTCCCCCCATCCCTGCAGGATGGGTTTGGTCCGAAGACCCATTGGCGGCGGTTCAGCAGCTGGGGTTTTCGCGGGACTCCTCAGCCCGCTATTTCCCCGACTGTCTCGCCGCGACGTCAAACCAGAAGTCAGGAATTGAAACTCTTCGTCAAGGGAAAAGAAAAGAAAAGAAAAGAGACATCACTACAAAACCAGTGGGATACAACAAAAGCATATATCTGAGGATTGACAATAGCATATGTGGCAAGAAGAAATAAGAAAAGAAAACAAAAGCAAGATACACTACAGGAAGAACTCAAAA